AAGGCCTTTTTCAACAAAGCTGCCCAAGCCGACTGGTGGGCACCGGCCTAAGCATTGTGACCTTCCAAGGGAATGTGGAATCGACAGCCGAGACAGCGTTATTGGATTGTTTGAAGCCGCCGCGCGTGAGGCATGGGGCCGCTTCGCGTGAGGCTTGCCACTTGAAGGTCATCTGGTGCTATCACGGTCCAGCGGAAACTTTCTCTCGTCTTCAGGCAGTTGCAGGAGGGTTTCAGTTTGCTTTTCGTCTTCAGATTATGACACAGCTTCCGAACTGGTTGACGACTTGTTGCCGAAGCTCCCCTGCTGGGACCGGCTGCGATGGTTTCCGGAGCGCCGTCCTCGAGAGTTGATTCGGAGGTTGGTGAAGTCAATATAGCGGAAGAATTTAGTTGAAGTTGTGGGAAAGTTACAGTTACGTAGTGAACGTCGCAGTGAGAATTCTTCTCCTCAGATCAAGAGTGGCGTGTGTCATTCTAACTATCACTACCAGTGTTGCTATTGTTAGCTATTGATAGTTACGTTACAAGTATCCCTTTCATGTTCCTATTCATTTTCTGATGTATGTCGTAACGCCGTAAGTGTCCTTTGCACCTCATGGGCCAGCCCCATCAAGCAACCTCCTACTGTCGTCAGCCGTGCCCAAAGTAGCCGCGCTGATGTTCGCTGGCAAAGCAGCCTGCGCGACAGTCAACAGCCACAGGTCAAACAAGTTCCGCAAGAAAATGGGGCGCAGGGCTTTCACGGGTTAGGCTTCAAGGGGTGCCTGGCCTGGGCTTCACTTTTCAGGGCTTGGGATTGAGGGAGGGTTGAGGGTTTTGGGTTCGGAGGTTCCTCCTCGATGCCAAGATGCCAAGATGCCAAGCGCAAAGTGCTCAGCCTCCCGCCCTCCCAGCAAATCCAAACTGCTTTGGTCGGCAACCAGTAAACACAGCGGGTGTGGCACAGCGCACCCATCGGCACTGAGTCGGCGACATTGTCGGCTGCCCTTTTTCGTCTTCATCCTACAACCCTCACACGAAGCCCATGGCCTCCCACCCTGAAGATCCCTGAACACATCTGAACACTATTCCTAGAAAAGACCCCGCGTTTTTCGGGTTATGATGAAGGCCCAAAGGATGAACGATGCATTTCATGGAAAACCACGGTTTTCAACATCTGAACGTGCTTCGGTGTCATTTTCCAACCTTCTTCGGACCTTTGCTTTTGCATCGCGTCTTCAGACTGTTACTTGCGGATGCTTGCCGGGGCGTTCGGTCTTCACGACGTTTCAAGTTCCGAAGCAGTCGTTTGAACCGGCCCAGCCATACCGGACAGCTCCACACCCATGACTGCTTCACTCGCTTTCTGTGTGGCTCTGCAACGTAGGGGCTTGCCGTAGCAGACTGGGGATCGCACTTCCGCTTCGAGACTGCAGAAGCCAACGCCTTAAAGCGCATAGTTTGCACACACACAGACAAACATCAGCGACGGTGATGGTTTTTGCTCAAGCCTGACTGACGAGGACACGGTCTGGGTCCGTAGCTGTGATGGCCTCAAGGTTGTCAAGGACCCTAGCTTGAGCCTGAGATCCATGTGTCTTACATCCGAAACGCCCCCATAAATCCCTAAAAGCCGCCTAGGCCCTGAAAAGCCCAGCAAAAGCCCAAAGCAAGTTTAAACATCCCTACGACCGAGCTCAGCGCTGGTCTCCGCGTTTCGGGGGATGAGGGTTCTGTGAGGTTTTTGTTTAGGACGCGTGACAGAACAAGGACTTAGTTAGCGCTTCAGGGTTTACGGGCTAAGGGGTCATATAATGTCATATAGAGACGAGGGCTCGAAGCTCCAGTTGTTTTTTTTTGTTTCGCGAGGCAACTGGCGCCACTTGCCTTTGACCTTTGCGCCGGTGACAGCTGCAAAGGAGCTGCCGCCTAAGCTCCCCCATGAGTGTCGAAGGCTGCAGAGACCACTTGGAGGCTCAAACCCAAAGCCCTAGAATCAGCCCTCAAGGTGAAAATGGCGGACAGCCTAGACCGCCTAAACCCGAACCCGACCCCAACTTCGACACCCCGCTGGGACCGCCTGCGATGGCTTCCGAAGTTCGAGGTTCATTCGGAGGCTGGCAAAGTTACGTGCAGGCTGACTTTCGATCCAAGTATCCTAAGATGCTTTCTCGACTCCTCGCCCAACCCTCGTCCTGAAAACCTGGCCTCCCAAAGCTTCCCTCTCAGCTTTCGATCGCGCAAGCACTGCATACTGCTCTTGATCACTACTCTTGATTACAAACACAATCATGCATACGCACATACTAATTGTGTGTGCATGCCTATGTTTTGTACCTATACACATCAATACGCGCACGCATGCACATGGAGTCTTATCTACATTAAAAGACGAACTTAAAAAGATGTGAAAGCTACATGAGATGCATACGCGCGGAAATGTTAGTCTCGTCAGGTCAAGATTCTAAGTATCACTACCAATATTGTCATCATGGCTATGTAGCTACTATCATTATTGATACTGTTAGCTACGGATAGTTACGTTTACTATCACTGTTCTTCATCTTCCGATTTTTTCTGCTGCATGTCGAAGTGTTGTTGGTACCTCATGGGCCAGCCAGCCCCATCAAGCAACCTCCTTGCGTCGTCAGCCGTGCCCAAAGTAGCCGCGCTGATGTTCGCCGGCAGAGTAGCCTGCGCGACAGCCAAATTTCAAAAGCCAGGTCAAACAACTTCCGCAAGCAGAAGTAGGGCGCAGGGCTTTCACGGGGTTCGGCTGCAAGCCTAGGCTTCAGCCTTCAGGGCTTAGGGACTTGGGGTTGAGGGTTCACCTGAATTTGGAGGTTCCTCTCCGATATGCCAGGCCTTGTGCGCCTCGTTAGCTCCGCACATCCCAAACTGGATGCTCAAACTCTGCAGCTGCGAGGCCTATAAGCATTCGGCCGTCCTTAAGCAGAAGCACAGCCATTAAATTCTCCGAGTAACAAGAATATATTCTATAACTACTATCAATATTATTATGAGTGTTCTTCTATTGAAAACCTTAGCGAGTTGTGTTTCCAAGGCAGCAAAACACGTTAGCGCCTATCAGCCCCAAATCCTGCCATTATATCCTCATATACTTTAACGATTGCAGACTCCGCGCACTATACTACTGCTGCTGTGACACAAAATGATTGGATGCTCTCGGCAGCACAGGCTGCATAGCGCCGTCTGCTGACAAGCATCGACATCACTCAAACCTGCCGGACAACTCTCGGCCCTAGCTGAACACGCAAGCCACAGCCTAGAAACATCTAGAAGCACCCCATGTCGCGAAGAGACTAGACACGATGGCCCTAGTCTCCCATCCTCTGTGTTGATACAGTGGACATCAGTAGACAGAGGCATGCTTTTCAAGATCACGGCCGATCACGGCCACGCCGGACCTTCACGGGACCTTCACGGGACCTTCACCCCGGTTTCTCAGCACTATCGGAAGGGTTGAGACAAGTACGGCCGCGCCAGCTGCCATGGAAGCTTGGACAGCGGCGCTCACTGCCCAGCTCACTGGCGCAGGTGTGAACGGGCTCCGTAGGATCCTATGCAGGAAGGCTTAGGGAGGGCTTCGACAGCTTAGAGCAAAGCGACCGCAGGCCGTGCTGTTCGTGATGCTTTGGCCCAGATCGAGGGCATCAGCCTGGGGAGTCTGGGCGGTTGCCAGGTTTGTGCCTTAATCCGGGCATATCCGGCCTGGGCACCTGCAGGTCTGTTTTGTGCTGTTGCTTTTTTTGTGTGGGGCAGTCCATGATTCCACATCATCTACATCCCAAAGGACCCTAAGACCGACGTCTCGGAAGAAGTCGGAAGCTGAACACGGCACGGCCTTTTTTTTTTTTTTTTGCATTTACCGTGGGAGCACCTCCCTTGTTTCACTGCGTGTTGCATGTCAGACTTGCCATGCAGCCCTCCCAAAGCCTCAGCACTTTCGAGGTCCTGGTGGAACGCAACGGTCATGTTCAGCCACTGGCCGCAAGAAGCATCAATATGGACACTTTCGTTTCCTTTTCTCATGGCCCTCGGAGCTCTTAGGATCTCTTAGGCTGAAAGCATCTGAAAGCCCATACCTCCACATGCCAGCGTCAAGCACGTTCCTAGGCTGGAGCGTGGTGATGCTAAAGTGAGCACACCGCGCACTTCCACAAATCCAACCAGGCCACCTCTTCAAAGATTGAGCTGCGAGGCAACATCATGTTGAATCATGCTTCGCAGCTTTGCCGCAGGATGAAGAAGACACCGTCAACTCCATCAACAGTTTGTCCGTCAGACCAGGACAGAAACTTTTTGAACCTTGCTGGCCTTGCAGAGAAAAGCCAGCCCCGCATGAAGCTTCAGAGGGGGTATCCTCGGCTGGCAGGAGAGGTCCCTTGCCGAACTACTGCTGGATGACGCGTGGCTCTGCTCTTAAGTTGCCCAAAAGATCCCAGAAGCATCGAGCAGCACACCGTCCGAGGCTTTCAGAGGAGCTTTTCTCTTGGCTCCAGGCCTTCCACTTTATCGTGTGGCCGCATGCGGTTGTCACAACAACACTCACGGAAGCCGTCCAGGTCGCCGACCTCCTGCAGCTCCTGTCGCTGGGCCGAAACGTTGTTCCGGTAGAGGCCTGCGCGCAGCTTCAAATGTCTTCAACCTTGTTTGTTGCCCAGTCATGTCAGTCCTCATCACGTGGCAAGAACTTGGCAGGTGATCTTTGCGCACCTCAAGCAGTTCGTGGACTTCCACAGGCCCGGGATCTTGATCTTGTCCGTCTTGCTGCCTGGAAATTTTGCTCTCTGCAGATGCGCAGGCCTTGGATTTTCGCCGCCACTTACTTTGCTTACACTGCTCCACGCGCTCGCGGCAACACAATGGGTTTGCAACACAGTGGGTATTGGATGTGCAGACCGTCGTCTATTCCCACACCGAAGCACTGTCACAGCCCCTGGGACTACTCTTCACCATGCCTGTAGCAAGCCGTAAGATTGGCGTGCTAGGCACAGAATGCAGCTAGACTCGTTGGACTTGTTCAGCCTTTCACTCGCAATTCGAGGCCTTCGCTTCATAGTGAAGAACAGCAAGTCCCTCTTCCTGAGCTTTCCGGAGTTTTTCGAGCAGTTGGTGCAAAGTTTGAGGATTCACTGCGAATGCAATCCGATTCTTATTGTCCAAGCTTGCCGACATTGGTTCAACGCCCTGGCCAAAGAGGCCTTGCAAGCCGACGCCTGCAAGCCATTCAAAGATATGGTTCTCCGACACGCTAGCATGCTGAGGGTCCCACTGTCCTCCATCAAAAGTTCCATGCGATTGTCCACTTCAGCCAGACCTGCGATGGGCATTTTTGCGGGCTGCGCAGGTTTGCAGAGCCATCAAAGTTCATCAGCACTGCTTCCACCGCTTCCACGTGGCAGAGACGTCGCTCCTAACTGCTCTGTCAGCTGCAGCTTCTCAGGCCGCTTGATGAAGTTTCAGCACCATGTGGAGCTTAGGAGACGGTTTCAAGCACGTCGTTTCAGTTTTCGTCAAGATTCGGCAAGATTCCCAGGTGGTTACTTGGAGTCGGTGCTGGAGACGACTTTCCAGACTTTCGGCTCCGTTTGGAGTGCAGCCGTTGGCGCGTGGCAGTATGGTGCCGCCGGTGCTGCTGCCGGTCATTGATATCTTGTAGCGTCTTGGCAGCACATGGCTTGGAAGGCGCCTGACCAGAGTGAGCAAAAAGGTTGGTGCAATGTGCCTCGCCTTGGAAGGTGCTTGACGTTCAGCTCTCGACAAGGCCGGCAGCATGACGGGCACCAGCGACTTCCCAGGTCTTGTCACATGTCTACGACTTTATAGAGCCTTGTTCTTGCTACTACTATTTCTACCATGTCTCAAGAGACAGTGTATTTGCCGCAGCCTGTCAGCGCGAAGGCACGTGGACCGAAAGAGTCCCTAGGGCATGGCGAGAAGGGCTCTCTGCGTCGGCTTGAACTACCCCGGCTCAAATCACCAGTTGCGGGGTTGCGTTCAGGACGCTTTAGCCTGGGAAGACACTCTACGCAGAAGTTTCCATTTTGAGACGCGCTTGCTTATCGACCAGCAGCTGGATGGCAGCGTATCTGAAGAGGCCTCCCAGATTCCGACAAGGTCAAATGTTTTGAGGAACCTAGCGTTTTGGCTCGTGAATGGTGCGCAGGAGGGGGATACACTGGTATGGGTGTTTGCTGGCCACGGCTGCCAAGTGGTGACGGATGACGTAGTGTTGGAAGCACTGCTTCCAGCAGCTGCTGGTGGGATACCGGGTTGTTCTGCTCATGCTGGGCACAGTGGCTGCGAAGTGATATTGAAGGAAGATGTTCAGAGCATCTTGAGGCACGTGCCCGCTGGCGTCCACGTGACTTTGGTCTTGGACTGTTCCGTTTCAGCTGGAGTACTGTGTGTCGGCAACAAGAGCCACGTAAATGAAAGCGAACCAGAAGGCCGCCGTGGGCCAGTGATTGCATGGGCAAATGTGTCGTTTCCACGGTGGGTCCCTCAAGTGACTGGCCGCGTCCTTGATCCCCGTGCTTGCGTGTTTCTCATCGCGGCGGCTTATGAAGACGGTGGCACAGCCTGCGAAGTTGACATGGACTGCAAGTGTTCGCGCGGTGCCATGTCTCTGGCTTTGCTCTCTGCTTTGGAAAGGCTGGAAGACCACGTTAGCAGGTGCACCTACGAAACCTGGCTGGCATCAGCGTCTGCGCTACTGCAAACCTTGGCCCCTCATCAGCACATCCATGTTCATTGCAATGGATGCATGACTTCTGGGCTGTTCAACTTGGAGGAGTTCGTCACTGCACGTTCGCAGCAGTCGCAACCAGAGCCGGAGCTGCGTTGCGTGTGTTGTCACTGCCAATGACTTTGCAAGGCGGAAAAAGTATAGAGCAAAAAACATGTTGCTGCATGAAGCTCGGGCATAGTGGGAAAGTCGGGCCGGCCCGTCCTTGCCAAACGGCGCGCGCGGCGTAGACAGGCAAATGGCTTGTTCCGTGAAGGAGAGCGGGGTGAACAAGCCGGCGACTACGCGTGAGTGAGTGGAAGAAGAAAGAATGTGTCAAGTGAGTGTGCGACGCGGGCAGGATGATGGGCATGATCGGGCCAACGGGGTGGGTGGAGGAACCTAAGGCGCGTGGAGTGAGGGACGCATCAAGGCATAGAGCAACTTGATACTGGAAGTGACTGCCTCCAGTCGCTGAGCGATGGACAGAGATCGAGAGCATGCGAGTGTGTGCGCGTGGCAGGCTGACGTGGGTGAGTGGGGTTTCATCAAAACGTGGAGACGGGATTCAACAGAGATGTTGCGTGATGATGGCAAAGTGTGAGTGAATGCAAACGTGTGCATGGCTAAAGATCATGACCGGCGGCTTTAAGATTTGCGCATCGCATGGGCAGGAAGGGGGCGCGGCAAGCGCCAATTGTGCTTGTCTTGAGCTTTAGGCGCGTCTTATGTGCCCTAACATTCATTCACTGCTTGAGGCGAGGAACACAGAGAACGCGAAGGCCGCATGAGGGGGAATCCGGGTCCGAACAGCTGCACATGCCACGCGCCCCCGCAAGCGCTGCAAAGCGGTGCTGCTGGGACATGTAGTGCATGGGCAAAGCGACGAGCGTGATAAGCAAGCGCCTAGTGAATATTGCCTGGATATTGCTGAATTGTGCTTGGCGGGTTGGAGCGCCTTGAGTACTATTCTTGATTACGAACACTAACATGCATTTGCACATACCTACGTGTGTGTGTGCTTATGTTTTGTACCTATACATGCACATATAGGGTCTTATCTACATTAGAATACGAACTTAAAAAGATTTGAAAACTACATCATATGTATACGCGGAAATATTGATAGTGAGCATCGCAGCGAGAATTCTCCCCAGATCAAGAGTGACGTGTGTCATCCTAAGTGCCATTACCAATTTTCTCATCATGGCTATATTGTTACTATTGTTCTTGCTATGGATAGTTACGTTTACTTGTGTCTCTGTTCTTCATCTTCCGATTTTTTCTGCTGTATGTCGAAGTGTTGTTGGTACCTCATGGGCCAGCCAGCCCCATCAAGCAACCTCCTTGCGTCGTCAGCCGTGCCCAAAGTAGCCGCGCTGATGTTCGCCGGCAGAGTAGCCTGCGCGACAGCCAAATGTCAAAAGCCAGGTCAAACAACTTCCGCAAGAAGAAGTAGGGCGCAGGGCTTTCACGGGGTTCGGCTGCAAGCCTAGGCTTCAGCCTTCAGGGCTTAGGGACTTGGGGTTGAGGGTTGAGGGCGGTTAGGGTTGAGGGGGTTTTGGGTTTGGAGGTTCCTCTCCGATATGCCAGGCCTTGTGCGCCTCGTCAGCTCCGCACATCCCAAACTGGATGCTCAAACTCTGCAGCTGCGAGGCCTATAAGCATTCGGCCGTCCTGAAGCAGAAGCACAGCTATTAAATTCTCCGAGTAACAAGAATAACTACTATCAAAATGATTATGAGTGTTCTTCTATTGAAAACCTTAGCGAGTTGTGTTTCCAAGGCAGCAAAACACGAGAGCCCCTATCAGCCCCAAATCTTGCCATTATATCCTCATATACTTTAACGATTGCAGACTCCGCACACCACTACCTATATCTTACCACAATTACCACCGTGTCTTGCCTCGTCACTGGATATAAAGGCCGAGGCATGGTCTCCGCTCGGTAGCCGCCATGGTTTTGAAGGGCCAGCGCGCGCTCGGCGCGCCGCGCGTGCTGCGCACGGAGCCCGTGCTGCGCCCGGAGCCCGTCCGGTGCGAGCGGCTCACGGCCACCATCATGTCACGGCGCCTGATGCTGCAACCAATACGGCTGCGCGTTGCTGTCTCTGCACCTTAGCACCCCTGGGCCGCACTGAGCTCGTCGCACCTTAAAAGCATCAGGCAATCACTTGGGCCGGACTGAGTTCCTTTGTGCATGGAGTCATGGAGTGACTTCCTGAGGCCTCTAGGCTCATTGCCTTGAAACCTCTTCCTGAAGCAGCCTCTGTATCTAGTGTCTAGAGTCCACAGCTTCGTGTCACTGCGGTGCCGCGCGTAGCCACGCTGGTGGCCACTCCGGCATTCAAGTTGGGTGTCAGGGAGTTCATCGATGGAACTCGATGAAGGGTCCGTCACTGAGCCACTGATGGTGGCTGATGGCCGTCTGGCCCCAGTGTGGCTCTCTGCAATGAGGTCAATGAGTTTGATGTGCCGCTATCTGGCTGGTTAGTGCGGCGGTGAGCACTGGTCGGCCTTGTGTCAACAAGCATACTACCGAGAATCTGCCAGTGCCGAGCTGTTGCTTGGATTTTTGCCGGTCAGTTCCCTTTGATCCTTCTGGTCGTGCCCCCAACTTCATTGGACCGTGGCCTTCCGACACTGCATGATGACATGCTATGTTGCAAAGTGAGGTGCTGCAGGTGAGCAAACAAACATTCGCGCCGACTCAGCTGCAGGTGCTTACAGCCTCTGTGCAGGCATAGTGCCATAAGCGTGAATCAGGCATGCGCTTTCGCACATGGCTCCCCAAAATCAAGCTGCGTTGCACCATCTAGCAGCTCTAGCAGCTCTGCACTAGTTCGGCAATCCCCAAGTTGAAGGAGACCACTGATGAGGTGCTCGCATGCAACAAGCCTCATTGCTAGCGCCTGCTAGTGATAAAGATGGCCTCTGCTGGAGGTGCTGGAGGTCCTCAGTTCTTTCAAGGCGAGAATGCAACCTGAACCCGACTCCGAGCAAGCCGTTTTCCGGTGCTTTCTTGGCTCGAGGACTCGAGGTTAGCGTGTTGCTCGTGACGCCCACGAGCAGCTGGGCAAGCTGCGTGTGTTTCATGATCCGGCGTTGCGGGCGCCCCGTCCTCCATGCGCTCCACAGGCTTTAGACAAACTTTACGCGAAGTGCGTGGCGGGCGTGGCGGGCGTGGCGCGCGCTTTCTCATGAACCAGCTGGCTTGTGACTCGGACTGTGCCTCGTCCGTTCCTTGGGAAGCTTTCACAACTCGTGCCTGCTGGGCCTGCTTCTCAGTGAGGGAGGTCCTGCAGGCGAGCAGCGTGCCTGCAGCCTTGGTGCAAGCATCGTGCCATAAAAGTGCATCAGCCGTGCACTTCTCGCACATTGTGGCCTCTCAAAAGCCAGGTTCATTGCACCATGTATATTCGAAGCTCTTCACAAGCTTGGACTGCAAGCAGGTATAATGTGGGACCCTCTTTTTCTGGGGCCAGGCTGTTCAGGATCTGGCCCCTTTTGTAGGAGTCCCTTATAAATGGTCAGGTTTTCGGGGCATCGTGAAAAACTCTGAACGATTGTTTGCTTCCAGTGGCGCACGCCTGCAAAACCGATTGCGAAGCTGCTGGGCTGGGCCCCCCCCCCCCTTTCCCGAAAGCCGGGAGCGGGATCATACGGGATCCACGAGACTTCGAAAAGCTGGACGCACAGCAGGTCAGGAGGTACTGCAGCTGATGGGATTGGAGGGCGCACAGGACTGGGACTGATAGGAGCATTGACAGGAGCTTCGTAGATTTGTCCTAGACAAAGCAATGGGCCCACAAAGGTAAGCCCGACCTCAACCGGGTAGTGAGCATGGGGCCTACCTGAACCGAGGCATAAGAAGTGCGTCTTCACCAACTAAATTATAGACACTGTGAGATTCCGTCCGACC